AACTATTGCAGCAGCAACAAAAGCAGTTTGAAGAAGCGCAACTGAAGCCCGTTGAATCACTGAATCAGGAACTGCATCCCCAGACAGCAGCAGTATGTATTGGTGAGCATTCTGTTTCCTCAACTGATGCAGCCGCGGCCTCATTTACGGAGTTCATATTCAGCCCTCTTTCTGGTCACACTTTTGACTCCTGGTTCAAGCGGTACAAAGACACGTTGAAGACTGATTTTTCCAAATTTGATAATGGATGGAAAGTCGGAAAATTGCCGCGAAAACTCGGTACACCGGAGCATGAACGGTTCACAAAGTTCATTCTCCTCAAGCTGCCTTGCGACCTCAGCTTTGATGAAACGGTCAGAACACTGTTCCAGATATTCGGCGATCAAACATCACGGTTCAATATCCACTACCGATGCCTAAAGTTGGTCATGATGATGCTGATGATGATACTGATGATAATGCTGACGATTTCGTCACGTTTGCCGGTGTTTTCAATCGAGAATGCGAGCGCTTCAAGCTCAGCTCAATGACTGATAATCAGTTTAAGTGCCTCATTTTTGTACCGGTCTCCAGTCACCCCAGGATGATGGCATCAGAACCCGGCTGCTTAACAGAATTTAACGGGACGCAGAAATGACGCTACAGAGCCTCACCACTGAATGCCAACGCCTCATCAACCTGAAGCACGACACGGCTATGATCGGTCAGTCGCCAGTGACCCCGAGCAGCTGTTTAAAGGCAATCAACTCCAGCGTGTCCAGGAAATCCAACAAGAAGCCAGATCGAAGATAGAGTAAGCCTCACACAAGTTACCGGCATTGCAGTGAGTGGCATTTTGCTCGTTATTGCCGGCTTAGGCGTCACAAATTTTCCAGGTGCAGTCGTCGCGGCCACAAAGAAGATTTATGTCGATCTCAAAGACTGCAGCCACCTGCACATTACTGTGCGGCCCACAAATCGCGATCCAACTCGGCGACGGCAACATTCAAAGTTGATTTTGCTTGCCGAAGGAAGTTCTTGACAGTTCGTGTCAACGACATCCCAGTTCGTTTGCAACTTGATACTGGCTTCGATATCACGCTGCTCAGTGAACGAACGTGGAAACGAATCAGTAAGCCACATGTGAAGCCGACTGAACACTGGGCCCATAATACTTCCGGTGTTAAACTGAAGTTGACTGGCGAGGTTGACTGCCTCATCAACTTCAATGATTCGACGTCAAAAGCCACCTGCTACCCGACGTCATGCCCCAAACTTGCTCTCTTGGGGCTAGATTGGATCGAAAAGCTAAATCTGCTGGATAAACCAATCAATTTTATTTGCAACCGCATACACGCAGCGCCCGGACAAACTCATTTGTCAAAGCGTTCACTTGAGCACCTCCTACAACGTTATGCCTCGGTATTCACTGACGAGCTTGGACGGTGTAAAAAGGCAAGAGCCAGCCTGTGCCTCCTCTCTGGTGCCAAGCCAGTCTTCAGGCCAAAATGTCCAGTGCCTTATGCAGCCTTGCCTGTCGTTGACCAAGAACTGGACCGACTTCAGAAGGCGGGTGTTCTCCAACCAACCAACTACTCTGCTTGGGCCACACCTATCGCGCTGGTGAAGAAGGCTAACGGGGCGATCCGGTCGTGCGCAGATTTCTCCACCGGTCTCAAAGCGGCGCTGGATACCCATCAATACACTCTGTCTCTTCCAGACGATTTGTTCGCGAAACTGAATATTTTGCGAAGATTGACTTGGCCGATGCGTACCTCCAGGTTGAAGTTGAGGAAGAATCCCGAGAACTTCTCAAGATCAACACGCACCGAGGTTTGTTCCGGTACACTCGCCTGCCATTTGGTGTCAGAATAGCGCCAGCCATATTTCAACAGATTATGGATACGATTCTGAAGGATGCCCCAGGCGTTGACGCCTATTTGTACGCCTTCGTTTTCATGGGTTCCAATCCCCACGAACTGTAGCAGTGGCTTGATTACGTGCTTAGTCGTATTCAAGAATATGGCTTCAAAGTGCGCCGAGAGAAATGCACCTTTCTCATGCGGTCGATAGAGTACCTTGGGTTCATTATTGACGAGCATGGCCGCCGTCCAGACCCGGAGAACATTGAAGCGATCAAACGTATGCCAGCACCCACAGACGTGGCGTCCCTCAGGTCTTTCCTCGGTCTCGTCAGTCACTACAGTTCGTTCCTGCCTGCCATGCATCGCCTTCGAGGCCCACTAAATCAGCTACTTACCAAGGACCACAAGTGGACATGGTCAGAAGAATGTCAACGCGCCTTTGACTCTGTCAAATCCATGCTAAGTTCCGATTTGCTACTCACACACTACGATCCATCGATGGAAATTGTTGTGGCGTCGGACGGCTTGAACTATGGAATTGGCGCAGTGATTTCACACGTATTTCCAGATAGCAGCCAGAAAGCCATTGCACATGCGGCCAGATCCCTGACTTCAGCCGAGCGCAACTACAGTCAGATAGAAAAGGAAGCCTTGGCGATCGTGTTTGCCGTTAAGAAGTTTCATAAAATGCTTTACGGCCGTCAATTCACCCTACTGACCGATCACAAGCCACTTCTTGCTGTGTTTGGCTCGAAGAAAGGAATTCCGGCATATACTGCCAACCGGCTCCAGCGATGGGCCACTCTGCTTCTGGGGTACGACTTCAAGATAAAATACCAGTCCACTACCAGCCTGGGACAAGCCGACGCACTGTCCCGACTCATTGATTCAAGCAGGCCAGAACCAGAAGATACCGTGATCGCAACAATTGCCTTGGAACCAGAGGTTAACCACGTAGTTTTCGAAGCTGCTCACATCCTCCCAGTGACTGCCGACATGGTCCGCCAGGCTACTGATCAAGACCCTGTGCTGCAGCAAGTCATAAGGTACCATCGCAATCAGTGGCCGCGTACCTGCCAAAAAGACGAACTGAGGCCTTACTTAAACCGGTGTGACTCACTATCACTGGCCGATGGATGCCTGTGTTTTCAGTACGTGTGGTCATCCCAAAGAAGTTACAACCAGCCGTCCTGAATCAGTTGCATAAAGGGCACCCGGGAACAAACAGGATGAAGGCCCTTGCTCGGAGTTATGTCTACTGACCTTTGATGGACTCCCAGATCGAACAAGTCTCAAGATCTTGCCTGCGGTGTGCTGAAGCATCCAAGCCACCGGTTAAAAACTACCAACGCTCGTGGCCGTAGCCGACCAAAACCTGGTCTCTTCTTCACATCGATTATGCAGGTCCAGTGGGTGGCCAACACTTTTTGGTCGTGGTCGACGCTTTTCTGGTGAACAGCCTCACAGCTGCCATCACAGACCTGGAACTCGGGCGATTGTTCAGTTGCTTTGAAACGCCAGGGGCTATTGTATCCGACAACGGCAGTCAGTTTACGTCGTCGGCGTCCGCACACTTTTGTCGGGAGTACGGCATAACCCATATACGCTCGCCGCCGTTTCATCCACAGTCGAACGGCCAAGCGGAACGCTTTGTTGACACTCTGAAGCGGGCACTTAGAAGTCCAGATGGGAGGGACCACCGGAAGAAATTTTGCAAAGGTTCCAGCTGGCATATCGAGGGACGCCGAACACAAACTCACCTGATGGAGTATCATCAGCATAGGCACTGCTCCAAACGGGGCGTGTTAGGCAGAATTCCACACGGATCCCGCTTTACCGCACGTCTTTAGGCGCTGCTACGGCCGGTAAGCCTAACCCGCAAGCGATTGGCCAAGAATTCGGGACACTTGCCGGTCCGGCATCAAGGCGGGATCTGATTGGACAGAAATCTGGACCCAACAGCCAGTCGTGACCCAGTATTGGCCAAATGCCGGTTGCCAATGGCGCATCCGGAACGCGCCAAAACTTCCAGAAAGTTATAATTGCTTACACCATATATACGAAGCGCTGTACAACTGTTATTGACTTCGTTTTGGGCATTAATAGACCTTGTGCACCTTTGGTGGTTGTTTTGACGTGAACGCTAGCTTGGGAGGCTCAGACCGAGAACTAAGCTGAGGAAAATACCGTTACCACTTAAGACGAAGACTTTGAGTATCAGTAGGCAACGCTAAGCAGGAGACAGACGGCGATGAGCGATGGTAGGATGTAAGATAGGAGGAATACCGGAAAAGCTTATCCTGGGGGCCTACTCCCAGCAGTGGACATCGAGGAAGATGGCTAGGAAATTTGGGGGGAATCCGTGGGATACGCTGCCACCTGACCCCAAGGAATGAATCAAAATAGGCTTTCCAACCGGGACCACCTGTTAATTATCCAATACAGTCGGAAATCTGTTGTGAACAAAGAGCCTGGGGAAGTTGCAAACGCATTAGTTATGAGCAGCACTACTATGAGTCAGGTATCCCTGCACCACCAGTTTTGGTCGGCTCCATCAGCCGAACAGGCCAGAGTATTTGGACGTTGGGTCCAACCCCGGCTCTCAAGGTTCCACATTCTAACGGGATTGTTCGGTCATAGCACACGGACAGGAGGACTATTCTACTACCTTAAAATGGTGTTTTATGAGTTTTAGCGTTGGCAACCACACTGCCTGTCGCTGAGAACTTAAAAAGCAATGTCCTTCAGGCATGTTTAAGTCACCGAAAAGCAAGAAGTAACCGAGGAAGCTCGGGCGAAAACCTTGACCTCGTGTACCAACCCGTGAATTACGATCGATAGTAAAACCAAGGTCTGTTTTCGAACATGCTTCGCTGCCGCAGAACCATGATTTATCTCAAGCCTCTTTGGAAAAAAATGGACGCTGTTGCTAGCCGTTCCAAACAGGAGTATGCACGCTCTGGAAGCACCAGGGACAGCTATTCTTCGAAGGTAGAGGTTCACAACGATTTCTGTAGACAGAAGAAAGAAAGCTCATGAACCGAAGCCCAGTAAGCAATGATGTACATCACGGTTACTTATATATAAGTTAATCAAACTGGCAAACCCCGCATACCACACTGACCCCCTTTTGAAGAACATCGTCCCAGGTGTACCATGGCCTGCATTCACGGAATGATACACAGGATCGAGGCCTCTGCCCAAGATTCCTGCGTCGGTTTTGTTCTTGTCGGTCAGTAGCTGTCGTTCACCTGGAATGCATAAGTGAATAAATAGTGTAGTACTGCTCTTTATGTTCTCAGCACGGGGCAGTTTGCTCGTCAGCGCAAAGACTCGCACAAATAAATGTCTAATAGTGTCTTAAACTGAGTTCGAGAAGGAGCGTGGACAACCGTCGGAGGAAGGTCATTCCACGCAGCTACTATCCGAAATGAGAAAAAAATTTGTCTAATGAATGTGTGCGCTCTGTTTGCTGGGTCAAAGGTAAAAAAAACCTGTTTGCCGAGCTTTGTTCAACCAGGGCATAAGTAAGAATTAGGTCCCCTCGGAGGCGACGGTACCCTAGGGGAAAGAGATCAAGCATCGCGAGACGCGTTTCGTAGTCCACGGATTTGAGGCTGGTAACCA